CTCTGTACTGTGAAAGGTATTTGTGGGTTAAACAGCTATTGCACCATGAATGGTGCAACCCACGATTGCCTTTGTCCTCTTGGTTTTGATTTCATTGATCCCAATAGGAGATACGTKGGGTGCAAACTGAGTGTCAATCTAGAAGAGGGTTGTTTAGGAAGTAATAACACGAACTACACCATCTCACCCTGGGAAAACACGGCATGGGAAGTGATGAATATGCACTTTCATGGCTATCTAGTGAAGGAGATTGTGAACGTGGTTGTTTGGATGACTGTAATTGTGTGGTGGCTCTGTATAAAGATCAATATTGCAGGGAGCTGAAACTACCATTGAGATATGGGAAGAGAACTGCGAGTCAATCCATAAGAGCTTTCATTAAGTCGAGAATTGGAAGCTCAAGTAGAGATACCCATTCCAAAACAATTGTTGTCAATAAAATCATTACCAATAGACTCGGCAAAGAGTTTCTCATAGTGGGTCTTGTTCTTATGGCCTTATCTTTGATAACTTTTGTTTCTTGTGGCTTCTTGATTTACAGAAACAGGATATGGAGCTACCAGGTGATCTCAAAGAATGCAAATCTTCAGTCAGATTTTGTTGAAGAAATCAATTTGAAATCGTTCACATATAATGAGCTTGCACAAGCAACTAATAATTTCAAGGAAGAGCTCGGTAGGGGCGCTTTTGGAAGGGTTTACAAGGGTTCCTTACCAAGAGGAAGGAGAGAAATTGCAGTGAAGAAGCTAGAGAGGGTGGCTGAAGAAGGAGAAACCGAGTTCCAGACAGAGATGAAGGTAATTGGGAGGACCCACCACAGGAACTTGGTACAATTGCTTGGATTCTGCAGTGAAGGTTTGAATAGTCTTCTAGTTTGTGAATACATATATGAAAAATGGCTCTCTTGCAGACCTCCTCTTCAAGGCCCAAATGCTTCCTGAATGGAAAGAGAGAGTCAGAATCTCTATAGAAATAGCAAGAGGAATCCTCTATCTACATGAGGAATGCCAAACCCATATCATCCATTGCGACCTAAAGCCTCATAACATTCTCATGGATGATGTATGGACTGCAAAGATTTCAGATTTTGGACTGGCGAAGCTGCTGATGCCGGACCAAACAAGGACATTCACCACCCCGAGAGGAACAAGAGGGTACCAAGCCCCAGAGTCGCACAAGAATGAACCGGTAACAGTAAAAGCAGATGTTTACAGCTTTGGAACCTTGTTACTTGAAATCATTTGTTGCAGGAGGAAACTTGAATTATCAGTTGCAGAGGAAGAGATAATTCTATTGGAGTGAGTGCATAGGTGTTATGACAACTCAGAGTTAGACAAGTTAGTGGGCATTGAAGAGGTGAATGCAGATGAGTTGGAGAGGATGGTGAAGGTGGGTTTGTGGTGTGTCCAGATGGAACCAGCTTTACGTCCCTCAATGAAGCAGGTGGTGTTGATGCTGGAAGGGACTCTGATCACACCCCCTCCTCCCTCAACTTCTTCCATTAATGGCTAGCACTTTCTAGGATCTTCTTCCTGCTTCATCTGTGATCTGATTGCTTGTTAATTTGTTATCTTGAGATGGTTAATTTGTAGTTTATATTACTTCGTCTATAATTAGTACTTATGAATATGTCTAACAAATTAAAAACCTTCTTATTTTACATTTTTTATCCATTCTACAACTTTGTATAATAATAATAATAAGAGGTGCTAAGCTTGCTGTGTCCGTTTGTACTGTGAATATGATTTATACTCCTGCTGGATGTGAAATTTGTACTTTTTGTCATTGCACTACAAAAATAACCGCTTTTTGTGACGTTTGTTTTGTGTCGTTTAAAACAAACGTCGCCAAAATTCAACATTTTCGTCTCACGATTATCTTAAATGTCATTATACCTTGCTTTTTTTGTGACATTTATTAAATTTTATTGCGACATTTGACTTAAACGTCACTAAAACATCTTTCCCGCCACCACCAAATTTTTCCGCCAAATATTTTTGTGACAATTGAGTTAAATGTCACAAAAAGTGAAAATAAATGTCGCCAAAAAAGAACTTTTGGTGATGTTTATTTTACAAATGTCACAACAAATAAACTTTATTGCAACGTTTGACTTAAATGTCACAAAATGTTTTTGTGACAATTGAACTAAATGTCACAAAAAGGGAAAACTAAATAACGCTAAAAATGAATCTTTGGTGACATTTATTTTCGAAATGTCCGCAAAAAATATATGCATGATTTTGAGTCGGCCTGATGCAGCCTGGCATGATGGACTACGGGCCATGTCAAGCATGACTTGATTGTATGGGTTGTGCTAGGCCTGGGGATTTAGGTCCATGGGCCGGTATAGCATGCTACGACTGAGCGGGTCGTATCGCCCGCAACCTTTGGTACGGCCTAGCATTACCCATATATGATATTATATAATAATTAAATAATATATTAATATATAAAATTTAACTTTGAATTTTATTTTATTATTGCATATATAAACACTTGTATATTGCATATATTATTTGAGTTCTTTGATTTTTTAGTTTTATTGATATTTATAATATATATTATAAATAAATATATAAATACTAGGAATGCGTATATATATTAAATAAAAATAATAACTTACATAAAAATATAATATATATTTTATATTTTATTAGTAATTATCAATTAATTAACTAGATAGTTGATTACTATTCAAAATTAGTTAACTAATTAATTAACCTTGAAGGATGGCTTGCACCTAGGAATGTCAATAATAGGTTGGGTTTAGCATGGGTTTGCCTCAAACTAACCTAAGGTTGTCAACAAGTTTGATCTACGTAGAAGCAATCCCAAACAAATTGTTAATTAGGAAAAATCATAGACCCATAATCGTTCCAATTGACAGTTAGGGCTATTGGGTTTGAACTTGATAGATCTGAATATACTAAAAACTATATTTGTTTATTTAAATAATAATATAAAATTTAAATTTTGATAATATAACCTTAATAAAAACAATAAAATTTACTAAATTGTTTATAAATTAATAAACTAAAATTTTAAACCAATTAATATTGTCTTATTTATTATCTATCAAATCTACCATTTATAACATAAAATATGAATCAATTCGGGACAAGAAAGAACTGAAATTGTCCCAATTATTTATCATGAAAAAATCATGGAACCAGAACCGCTATAATCTATTTGGTCGGTTTAAGTTTGTTGGGTACATCTGACCCATTGACAACCCTACCCTAACCTGACTCTCTCTAATGTCCCTACATAAATCAAACTTGAGCCAACTCAATAACATGCATTTTTTGAACTTAACCCAACTCAATAGGGAAAAATAGAATTTGTAGTTATTGTAATTACATTTAAACAGGAATAAATAGCAAAATTCCCAAAGAAAAACTTCCTGAAACAGAAACATATAAGCCAACTTAATAAAGATAGCTTAATAAGGTAACTCAACAAAACATTTAGAATCAGAATCTAGTGAAACCAAAATAAGCCTAAAAGCTTAAACCTAACTACCAACTGCATATATAAAAACTCTAACCACTAACAAAAAAAAAA